TCCTCTTGCACACTCGTTTCGCCGCCATTTATGAAGACCAACCGAACTATCCTCTCGATAAATTATATACATTTCAACTTGGATGCTTGCTCGGCTCTCAATGCCCTCGTCGCACAATGTCATGCTTCCGTGTATACCGAAAGTGTCCGAGAAGCTATTGGTAAGCAGATGGACCAAAATATGGCTTTACGACAAAAGACGCCTGCCACGTGAACGGAAAACAAGGCAATTAGCCTTATCTCACTCTCGTTAGAGCGAATGTCCGTTTCTTGTCACGTACAATTTCGCACAGATGACGATTTCTCGGTACCAGCAAAGAACATTGTAGACAACAAAAGTAATGTGAGGAAAGGAAATTCTCGATTGAAACTAACATGCTAAAAGTCTACGTACTTTTTACACAAACTTTTATTCAGTCACAATTCAGTGAATACATTTCGGAATGAATAATTTCTTTTGGTCATTGGAAAAGTTATTATTAACTTTTATTATTATTAAAGTTATTATTTAACATTCTTTTTCCGGGACACATTTTCCTCCTTTCAAAAGGTGGCCGGGCTTGCAGACACAACCAGGCTTCCGGCAAACCTATACGTACATTGGTAAAGAAATGTTATTGATTTGACAACACGATCTCGTCGCGCTTGTATGGAATATTACTCACTTGAATGCATGCCTCGGTGCGTGGCTTCATACATGTTCTGGGACATGAACTTGGGCACTCTGACCAAACTTGATTGGGTAAAGGACACCGCTTATCTTTCATACAGTCTGCTACAGGCACACATTCCGCTCCTTTCAAGACAAAACCTTTTTTGCACACGCAACCCGCCGGCCGACATACCTGTAAATTCACGAATTGAATGTAATTAGTATCGCAATACAACAGTACGTGGACTGGCTGGAACATTGTTCATACCTGAATGCACGGCCCGACGGTACTTAGACGTTTGCATGTTCGAGGACACGCACTTGGGCAGTTGGACCAAACTTGGTTTTTGGGACACAGGATGGCTGCTAAATATATTTATATTGTATTTAATAGATTTTGAAGCGAGGTTATTTGTAATATGAATCAAGTTTTTAAATACGTCTTATATGACTAACCTACTTGAAAATTCATGGTATTCAAGACGATTCAAGATGAATAACAGAGCAATTTTAATTACAAGAAGACAGATGTAAATATGGCATTTATCGAAAATTTAGGCGAATAATTTATGAAAAATAAGAGAAAGCACACGATAGCATTCTTCTGAAAAAATAATAAGTAAAATTTGTCTTCCTATCGATGTTGAGTTTTATAATAATAAATTGATGCGAGTGTGCTCAGAAAAGTCTTCTTACGGCCAGGAAAATTTGGTTTTTGGAGAAAAGAAAAATACTCACCCTGTGACCCAACTACCACAATAGCAGCGACAAGTACGACGAGGTATACTACGAAATTAGTCATGTTCAGTCTTTGACAGAGACAATGCTGAAACGCTAAGGCAAAGGCATTATATATCATTATATACCAGTCGTCGGCCATTGAATAAATACACCGTTTTCCTTGTATACGGACACATTGATGCACTAACGTCTGTTTTTATCCGCTACGAACGATAAGCAAAACAAACGCCAAGATGAATGTCAGCATATCAGGTGGTTTTTTTTACTTTGGAAACATTTGTAACATCATTTGTCATAATAATCTCCAAGTTGAGATACGATGGAATTGCCTAACGTTCAACTTCCTCGTTACAAAGTGAATCGCAACAAAGATTTATCAGTTGTTTGTCGATGTGCTTGAATTTCGAGCAGCCAGGGAAGGCTTCGCAGAGATGTGATCGCGAAAATCGAGGCTCTGCGGATAAGATAATTTCCACATTGCTCTCAGGCTTATTTTTTTTCCAATTTCTTTGTTGCCAGTCGATTTGACGTAAGACACAAAACGAGCATCAGGTTTGCTACAAAGCAAATAGGTTACGCCTTCTTTTTTCCAGACATTCAGAAAGCATGAAGAGCCCTTATGCACTTTTTGTTCCAATTATTATTTATAATTTCAGCATAAAAAATTACGTGTGTGAGCGTCGGCGCTCGCATAAAAAACATATCGATCGAGCGTCGGTGCAGCGGCGCGTCGACGCCGTACAAAAAATCTGCGTCATTTTCTTGTCTGAAGGCGCCGCGCCGCGCCGCGCCGCCGATGAAAGGGGAAGAAAAAGAAAGACGTGCCGGCTCTTTCACACATGCAGACGCGTGGCGTAAAAAAGTACACGTACAAAGCCACCGAGAGAGCCGACGGAAATGTTTGTACAGTGACCTCCATCCGATTGCCTCTACCGCCGCGCATAAGGTCTGTCACGGAAGATGATGGATCGGCCCTTTGTAGCGCGATCGGATAGTCGGACATGATACTCTCGTCTGCAGATGCGTTGCATTTTGCTTTCGTGCGATTAGCGCAGCCCTTTTCTCGTCTTCGTCATCGATTAAATACCAGAGCGCGCTCTCTATCCCCGACGTTATGTCTATTTTTTTTTTAACTTTCTCTCTCCGTGTTAGTTTTTCCGATTGTCCTTGGTTCTGATTGCACAGAAGGACAAGGCTGTCCATTTTTTTATGTAAGGACTATCCTCGTGTATTTTTATTGCGACTATTTTATCTATTAATTGTGAATTATGATCGTATTCTTGATTTTTGCTCATGAGAATAACGAAGCACAATGAACGGTCACTTTGGTAAGCTATTACATTGTGCAGCAAACAAAGATAAGTTATTATGCATTCAATGCTCCATGGCAAGTTATTCTGCCTATGCATGAACACATGATTTTTACGAAAAAGATATTCAAACCAACAGACCGTTTCATATGTGTCAAGTTTTATCGCAAATATCAAAACTTTCAGCAATAAAAAAATGTCCAACGACTGATGGAAATGCAATACTCGCCGTGTGGGAATCAAGGATTCGATGGGCAGATGTCGACACTCGAGATAAATCCACACCTTTTACTGCTATCTAATCGTCATCATTGAATAACGGTATACGTTTACCAATAGATATCGACACATATGAAAGGATGAGCAAGTGTACCATTATCGAAGCCCATATAGCTGTAATAGATAACAATTAACAGCATAGAAGTGAGCGGTTCGTGGACGTCAGTTGATAATTTTGTACTTAATTAAAATAAATACTGATAGCAACGAAATCGAAAGAAAGATATACCGTTCCAATACGCAAAATTATACCAGAAATAAATTCCTCCAATGTAAAACATTTTACCAATTGATATATTTAATCAGGCAATTGACGTTACGTAATCGGGTAATAAAAGCAACCAAAAGCCAATGTGGAATATCGTCCAGATACAGAGCAAACTGCATTGAAGGCCGAACTACCTATCGGACGAATATGATTTCGTATAAGAAAGAACATGTGCCCGCAGCGTGGATATTATAAGTTGGCGTTGATTTTGACATTACAATTAAGAAAGCTCATTGTAGAACTTCAGCGTATAATTCGTTTTACAACAACATAAAATTGGTTAAGTAGAAAGGAAAAGCGAAAGAGAAGCTCTCGATGCACGGCAGTGAAAATCAGACTTTTCTGGATAGTACACGGCAGGCCAAGTATATAGGTATCCAGTGGGCTGTAAAAAAAGTCACACAGCGCGAAGAGAGAGAAGACGGAGGAAAAAGCAAGGCAACAGGCGCACGCAAGAGAGAGAGAGAGAGAGAGAGAGAGAAAGCGAGTTGGATGGAAAAAGAAGAAGCCGCGCTGGGCTGGAGACTTTATAAATAATAAATTCGCTGGGAACGCTGCGAGTGGGGAAAATGCGAAGATGGCTCGGTAATAAAGAGGCCGGCAGAAGTGACGTCCTGTGTCGCAGAGTCGTAAAACTGGGCTCCGGGACCTCCGGGCTTATGCGCCCGCCGTGCCATGCCAGCGAGACTCTTATTATTAAAGCACCCTGCTCTCGCTCTCGCGCTGCATATTGACGGTTATTGATCACCTTTCGCGGACCTTTTTACGATCTCTCTCTCGCTCTTTCTCTCTCTCTCTCTCTCTGTGTGCGCGCGCCAGAGACTCGCTGGTTTCTCCTTTCTTTTTCTTCCAGCTTTTCCGATCCGCGCGAACTTTTCATGTCGGACTTCGGCCGTAATTAGTTGCAGCCGCAAGCTCGCAACAATGTGCCCAATATTGCTCATAGCTGTTTTCAATCTCATTCTTTTATTTGCTCGCACATCTGCCGCTTTCATTGGTACAATACTTTTACGATATTCACAGTCTGTTGCTCGTTCAATGCAAAATAATGTATATTATTTTGTCGGATACGTCATGTCAATTTCATTTGTGGCTTAACGATGAGCGAAATGACCACAAATCGTTACTTATCGTTTCGTCTTATTTTAAATTATTTTTAAAAAACAACGTTACAGTAATAAAAAAAATCAAATATTTATAGCCATGCCTAATCCAACACTGTATTTCAAATACCTGCATCTTAAAAAATATGATATTTTTATTAATCACGATTATATTATTTACATTACGTCAAAAATAATCAGTTATAACAAGTGATCATCTTGTCCGTTAATAAATCCTCGCCGCATTATTGTGAAAATTTTCAAGTGATACTTTAAGTATTTTCGTGAAAATAATAATTAATAAATATAATATTTGTTGAACACGTTCGGTTTTCAAAATTGATTATTTTTTACCAAAAAACCAATTTTTGGAATTCGTATATATATTATTTCTGAACCTCCTAATATCCCACAATATTTAAAAAATATACTTGATATAGAATTTATGAAGAATACGATATCAGTAGTAAAATTATTACCTTTGACATCAGAACACTTATTTATCGTGGATAAAATCACAGATGTTGAATAAAAGATAAGTTGCTTCGATATGGACTGTTGGTAAAATAGAATTGCTACATTACCTGAGGTATGCAATTGAATAGAATTTTACAAACTATCGACGAACAGCGTTATGCATAGACAATATATACTGCTATTATAATCTATTTCAAGACGCACCCTTTTCTTTAAGCATCAAATTATTTGAACTGATCGTGCTATTTGGTAAACAATGACATAGATGGTGGGGGGACTACAGTCAACTTTAAATATAGGGGAGTCGTCAATGTGGCCATCTTTTACGCGACAGTGAAAGTGTATAAAAGCACGTAGTTGGATCAGCTGATATTTCGAGGGAATATCCAAACACGAGCTTGCAATCGTTTGGTGGATAAATAACATATATTTCCTACTTGTCATCGGTTCTAATACATCACATAACTTGCCTCGGAGCAAATGACGACCACCAAGTGACATTGTTCAATCGGATCTATAAAGGTAATAGATACACGTTGTGCATCCATATTTACACCGTATAGCCTACGACTCGCGCACACTTTGTCTGCTCTCAAACTCGTTGAATTGTAAATGACATGTTTTTCAGCGATTGCTGACCTAATGCTTACTAATATTTTTTTTCGATGCTCAGAGTAGAGTCCCATTATGGGTAACGCAGGCAGCAATCAGCCTGTTAGTCACCACCATGCCAATGTTCATCGAGATGCTCACCACAGGCACATCAAAGATCATCATCCACCATCGTCCCCTGGCAAGGATGGACATGCCTTTACTTTTGATAAGAAACCAAGTACTAAACTCTTGCTTCAATCTTCACAAGAGGAAGAAGAGCCATTTTATACAAAGGTAAACTTTATTGCAATGATTTTACTCACATTGCATTTTGTTCTATTAATAATACCTGTAAACAGCTTTTGAATTATATGTTATTTACTAACCATTCAATAAAAGTACTTGGCATAGCTTTACGTTATTATTGATTAAATTAAGCATCATTTAGCATCAACATTCAAATGAAATTATTAATCACTCAATTGAATTTAAAATTATACATTTGAATGTTTACTAAAGTCTTCAATCTTAATTTACTTCTATTCAATTTTCTTTTGTTTTTATTTTTTAATCATTGTATTTTATGGTAATTAAATTAAATAGCTATTGATTAACTCCTATAAATTAGAAATACTAATAAAAGGTTTGTGTGCTTGGTTTGGTGATAATACTTAACAGAAAGATAAAGATGATAATAATGATGTTAAGACCAGAGATAATTTTCCTGGTACAAGGCCTCGCTCTAATACAGTCTCAGAAGGAGCAACTTCTAAAAACACAGATAGAAAGGTCTTGCCTACTGTGTTCAAGTGGGAGGGTGGTGGCAAACAAGTGTATATAAGTGGTACATTTAATGACTGGAAAACATTGCCGATGGTGAAGAGTCATGGAGATTTTGTTACAATTGTTGATTTGCCAGAAGGTGAGCACCAGTACAAATTTTTCGTTGATGGAGAATGGAGGCATGATCCTGGCCTTGTAAGCAACAAACATAATCAGTTGATAATCAGTGAATACTTACATGAACTAATTATCATATTTTACCATATTCTACGTCTAGAAAATCGTTGACAATGGAATGGGATCTAAAAATAACTGTGTATCTGTCAAAAAATCCGACTTTGAAGTCTTCCAAGCTCTTGCAAAAGACAGTGAAGGCATTATCAGTAGTGCCCAGACAGAGTGGGGCCAAGACATACCACCACACAAACCATGGGAGAAAGTTCCTGGTCCACCAATACTACCGCCCCATTTACTTCAAGTGATTCTTAACAAAGATACGTCTTTATCTGTAAGATCAAAATGTAACAACGTTTGACAAGCATTTTAAGTATCAGCATTTCTTACACGAGATTTGTTGTTATTGCAGTGTGAACCAACGCTTCTACCAGAACCGAATCATGTAATGTTAAATCACCTCTACGCATTAAGTATTAAAGATAGTGTAATGGTGCTTTCAGCAACTCACCGCTATCGCAAAAAATACGTGACAACGCTATTGTACAAGCCAATCTAATCCTAACGACATTAAGGCATTCATTCCCACCCTCGCAAGGAACTGCTTAGCTGATAAACAAAAAAAAGTATGATAGGGGTTCAAATGGAGCAAATGAAATAGAGAATCAACCCTAAGGCTTTTTTAGATGTACTTTAAAAAATGAAGTGATATGATATATATGCAGAGTCCGATTTGTGGTACGTGGATCGTTTATTATACCTCGAATTGTAACATATGTAATTATTTATTAAAAGTCATAGTTTCGAATTGATCAAGCATCATTTTTCATAGAGACTAGAATATTAAATTTATATAGTACAAAGAAACAATGGCTTCTTTTATTCTATCTCTCACTTCAAACTTCATTCTCGGCAAAGTCTTCGGTGTAAGCAAATGGAGGCTCAGATCTCGTTCGCAAGAAATGCGATCCTCTTGCTGACTTATCAACATGCTCACCTAACAGCACAGGAACGTTATTATCACACTCGCCTTGCAAATATTTGTCCCAAGTCTCGCATGGTTTTGCTATCAATCCTATTCGCGAATTAATACTTTCGGTAAAATAATGGTAAGCTCTTCCGTGACTGCACGCCTCTAAAATAATCAAGTACAAATTTGGCTAATTCGATCATTTTTAAACAATGTTTCTTTGATAGAAAAAAACGAATGTTCACCAATTAATTCTGGCACGCAGCAGCAACCAGGTTGCACTGCAATACCTGCATTGGGATAAAAATCTGTGTGACCCAGCGGTTGCAAGTAGCCCAAAACTCCGCCACAGGAATGTATAACATCTACATATAGAGCGTCAGAGGGATCAAGTCGACCTTTGTCCATAGTTAATACATGGAAACCAGGAAGTGCTGGATCTAGTCCAGTAATTCTCCCCATTTTACCAGAGGTTACTTGCTCGCCTGTATTGCCAGCCACGTGTGCTCCCAATGAGTGACCTTTTTGAGGCGTGATACATTAAAAACAGCTTAATTTAAATTCAGTTACAATTTTCATCTCAAACAAAATTTTATAATTTCTCGTGGAAGCTGCATTATTTTTACAAAATTTTTTTAAACCGACTGACTGAATTAAATAAACTCTTTAAATGAAATAATTTCAAAACTTTTAATCACGACGTAATAAATGTAGATAAGAGTAGAATCTTGATAACAATATCTTTCAAAATAAATTAACTGCGTTATTAACTTGTAAGCAGATGTCTCGCGATAAAAATCAAAAAAATGTTTCGCCGGTACGTTAAATATATCATTTGAACAACTTAATACACCAAAAATAACTAACATCATAAAGTAGATATTTCAATTACGCAAATTGACTTGATAAAGGAAACAACTTGTACGACAATTTCACGTCTTAAATCACCCAATCATTATCTTATACACGTGGTAATAACTAGTTAATACTAATTTAGCCTTATTTTTAAACTTACCGATAAAATGTATTCTATCAGTCGATATTCCAGTTTCACGAACAAGGAAATCAATGAATTGTGCTGCTTTTGCGCCGACCTTACCTGTGTTTCGCATTGGCCCAAGATAAAATGTACTTGCAGCCATGGGTTCCCAATTAACAAGAATGACATTGTAGTCCCCATTAATTAGATATTCTATAGAATATTAAATCTTAATATATATTTGATAATTCGTCACTTAGTTTGGAGTCATTTTAGCATTCACATATGAAACAGCTAAATTTAATATTACAAATCACTATCAAAAATGAGAAAAAATTCGTATTCATGCGATGCTATGAAAACGTTAAAAATAATATTTTAGATACTTCAAATAAATGGTGAGTTTGTCAATGAGTTTCCCACAAAAAATTGACTTTCAATTTAAAAAGCGAATTGTTACTATAAAATTTTTTTCTATAGTACTGTTAGCCAATTTTAAAAAGTTCTAATTAGTACTATTCAATTTTTATTGCAATATTTAAAACAAAATTTTTTATTGATTTGAAGGAATATTTATAAAGTTTTATTTATAACCTGGTCATTAAATTACCTTTTTTCATGTTAATTATACTTGCACTGAAAGCGCTAGACTTCCACCCGTGAGTAATAAACTTTGTAGGCCGATCTGGCGAAAAATCGGAGTTAGTTAAAGATTCTAAATCATTTATATTCAAATGTACTCCTTTTTCTGGATCAGCTCTATGGAAATTATAGAGAAAAATTAATATGCTTTCGAAAATATTTTAATATAAGCAATTCGTTCAATAGTGAAAATTTATAATTCTATATTATAATAAGATTTCGTTTACCGGTCGATTTCAAAAGTATTTAAATTTTGATTTCAAATGCATTTTGAAATATAAAAAATAAAAATTGAAACTAAACAATTTTTTTATTCAATGAGATGTTCCATCCACCAAGATCACATAATCATTTATTGTTTGAACTTTATATACATAATTATATATAAAAAAATTACATCTAGAAATAGGAAAAATTTGAATGTAATAATCGATCAGAAAGTTTTCTACCGTGTGTATAAAATAAAACCAATCGGCTCGTCAAGAACACCACGATTGTCAGACTGAACAATTTTGAGAACGGCAACTTGAGGTTGTTCTTTGCCGTCAGGCATGAAAATCCAATCTTCTCCATAGCCGTCATATTTTTCTTTAAGCCCACTCTCCCATGCCATGCTCGGGGTCACAGCCCAACTTATCCACAACATCCGTAATAAAAATTCGATTAATAAAGTTAATATGTTATCCATTTTTATGTTTTTTATCAACTTAACGGTTTCGACAACAAATTACGTTCAAATTTTTTCAAGTTAATAAAATTTGTATTAGAGGATGTATTTTTAATCAACAAAGTGACAAAGATAAATGCATTTTAATGGATAGCGATTGTTGAAAAAATCTGTCTACACGGGACACTCGGACGCGGCACAACCCCACGCCACTTACTGCGTTATCAAAGTCAATCAGACTCTTTATAAGGAGTTTCTTCGATAACCTGAAGGTGGGTGCATGCTGACCCAGTTGTTCCTGGCAGTAGTTTTATCAAAAAAGTTGTCACTATCTCAACCAAAGGCTATCAAAGACGCATGTTTGGTAAGAAAGGTAATTATGCATGCGCAATGACAAGCACGTACGCAATAAACTGGTCTTTTCCTCGCCATCGCCACGAGATAGGCAACTATTCGTTCCGGTGCCGATAAAGATATTGTTCTGTTTTCTTTTTCTTTGTATTTCGTTCCTCGAATGGTAAGAAGTGCCCCTAATATACATTCGTAATGCTATTTAAATTCGTGGTGTTGATTCTCTATATTTTCCTTGGAGCCTATATCACATTAATTGTATCACGATCATTTTTCTTCTAGTTGCAGACTGCATTTAAGGCTTATTGATATGTCAAGACCAAAAATATCGTTGTATATGCATGCCACAAGGTATCTTCTCGTTCTGAAAATCAGAAAATTTTTACGAGTTTCTAAGCAATAAAGAATAAAACTGTCAGCAATCAACAATGATAGCTTACTTTTATTCAAAGTATTGAGTCCGTATTCACCATCACCATGTAGGCCTATCAAAGGTACATTAGGAAAGACTCTTTTGAATATAGCTATTTCCATATCTTTTTTATTTAAGCGTTCGCAACATGCGAACATCAGTCCCAAAGAGTGTTTTTTCAATGCAATACTCTGTTTGAATTTGTCTAATTTCTCTTGAACTTCTTCTTCCTTACGACACGACTGTGATAAAACAATTGACCAACTTTGCAGAGTAGGACTAGACAAAGTAATAGCTGCCCATTGAGAAATTTGTGAACAATTACGTGATGAAGAAGATACTTCACAGACTTTTAAATCTGTACAAATTCCTCCCCAAAGTGATATTTTACCTATTGGATATCTACAAATCAAATTTGATTTTTCAAATGATAGTTTAGTGAATATTCTTTGCTCTTTCTGATTTACTTACTGCTTTCGTAGATTTTTCATAATGACTTTGGAAAATTGATAACCACTATGATCAGTCAGCATAATAATACATTTTGATTTTTCTTTCTTTGAACTAAGTAATTGTTTAACTAAATGTTCAGCGTGAGCATTGATATCAATATTGGAAGATCCACTAAATGTGTGCATATTAACATGGTATAGCTTGTGTGATAATTTAGGCAAAGCAGAAAGAAATAATCCCACAGCCATTCCAAATCCTTTCTGAATTTTTGAGTCATTTAGTACAATGTCATATCCTCCAAGAAAAATTGCATTGCAGTCTATAGGTAGGTTTTGGCAGTAACAACCTGAAAATCAATCAAAGAATATTACTTTTAATTTGACTTAACTCTTACACTAATACATTGTAATAATAGTCTTTTATCAAAATTTCAATATGTTGTTTTCATTGTATGTTTACACATTGTCCAATAAATGAGTACTGTGTAATACCAATGTATTAATAAAATCTTTTATAACTCAAAACTCATATATTTTGAAAAAGTTAAGGTATACCTTTGAGGGTCCATTCTTTTTCTTCTTGAACTTTTGCACAGATTAATGCCACTACAGGTCGAATCCTTAGCTCATTGCCAATAAGTTCTGAAGCATACATATTGTCTGCATCGTCTCTATCTATTATTTTGTAACGTTTCAAGAAATACTCAGGATATTTTCTTAAAGAAGCTTCCTTGCTTGCAGCATCCTTCCAAAGCCTGCGTTAGTGTATATACAGAGATATTATTTATTTTATCGAGCGATTGATAATACTTATACTTTCCTACACACTTGAGCAGCTGAGCAGAGGTCTTTAGCACCCAACTGTCCAAAAATCACTCTTAAAACATCGTAAGTCAAAACATTTTCTTGTGTTTCTTGTGCATCTCGACTACTGCAGTCAGACTTTTCTTCAGTAGATACGACGATCTTCATCTTTTTTACTGGAGATTCCATTATCACAGCTAGTAAAATTGATAAAACTACCAACTATTGCAAATATAGAATTCTAATATAATAAATTTATATTTTCTTTAAACAAAGCTTAAGATTATCTAGTTGTTCTTATCCAGATTCCAGTCTCACGTCATGCTATTGCGATATATTTGTATTATTGTTTTGCTTTATCCACTGAGTGTTTGCATCATGGAGACTATACATAACTATATATATAGTCTCCAGTCTCCATGTTCATTAGGTATGCGCGCGCAAACGCCGAATCCATGTCAACAAAATCAGCGGACTTTGCGCGGGAAATTCAATTTTATCTAGTAGTTCGGAAGCTAGATATGATATCTCATATGCAATAACAATGCGCTGAGTATTAATCTATTATTCTTAAATAATTTAATCTTCTGAATCGGAATCCATCACTAGATTTTATGTTTAGAAATTTGTTATATTAAAATTGTTTAAACAAATTATGAAGAAATGATTTTTTCGAACTTAATCAATTTTTATAGAAAGAATGGCTTATTTTAATTCTAAAAGATTTGTTGTAATTTTTTCAAAAGTTATAAACTTTTTAAGATCGAAAATTTCACGTTTTTCCTAACTTTAAATGTTAATAACTTATTATCTATTCTATATTTTCCAAAATCAAATAAACCTTCTTATCTCATAAATCTTTCTGTAGAAATTGATAAAATTCAAAATTATTGTAAGTACAAACACAGTTATTGCAAAAAATACCGTAACAAGAATGTTCTTCTTAGTACCTTTTTGATGCTAAAAATATTACTCATTTTTATTAAATATTATGAAATTTTTAGATTTTTCGAGTAAAAAAAACTCAACTTTGCTATCATTATTAGTTTTCATAATAACAGCGATTGAAAAAAAATCGATTAAATAGTGTCTCTAGGTATATCGAAATAGCCGAAAATCATCTATTTCTTAATTATTTTCAATCCACCACGATCACGTATTTAATTATTACAGATATAAATACTGCTAAGATTTTGTAGATCTAACCAGACTTTTAAACTATCGTGGTGAAGTATTTTGAAGTCAAACATCAAGAGGACAACGTATTTTGATAACACTGCTTTATTTATTGTTGTAAATTATACCTCAGTCATTGTTTTTTATACTTAAATAAATATACCAGTAGAGCGTAATGTACACAAAAAAAAATAAAATTAAACACTACTGAAAGGTTTACTATCCATAGCCAATGGTCAGGCTCTTGTAGGTCATGTGCGAGACAGCGACGGCCGGGAAGTAAGCTATTCCGACGAAGCTAGTTTATGAGCAAAGAGGGGTACAGCGTGGGTGACTGGCGCCAAGTAGGCAACGGGAGCATGAGCTACTGGGGCGGTAGCGTAAGTGGTGTTGACAACCGAGGCAGGTGGGTTGCTGATTTTCGTGAACATTTTGTTGTTGCTAGAGCATGCGGTGTCGATGGATCTTGGTGTTAAGGTTGTCAGTGCTGCGGTATGTGCTCTCTACTGTACCGCTCAAAATTGGCTCGGCGTGGCTCGCATAAACCTGTGTCGTGTAAGTTATTGCTGAGACACCGATGGAAAACAACAACTGCGATCTGCAAACTGTATTTTTTGCCATTCAATTTTTAAGACGTTTACAGATTTTTCATTTTGAAATATAATATATGTTCAGTATTTATGTAACAAGAAGTGAATTTATTGTGTTTATAAGAAAAAAATTGTTGTATAAAATTTGTGAAACATGATTTAAAAAAGAAAAAAGTCGAATGAAATATAGGAAAAAGTATTTATAAAATGATAAATGACCTTAGAGAACGTGACTGTGTTTTTGGATTGACTCGGAAGTAAAGTAAACTTCGAAGGAAATAGACTGCTAAATTTACCGATTTCCTAAAAATTGATGTCTTTGGCGAGATCGACACCCAAAATATAAACAATTCGATGAAAGTAGGAAAGTCACTTGAACTTTCACCAATCTCAAACAAGAGATACCGAAAATGTAAGGTCACTGATTTGCATCCTTAATCTACATTCGGTTGCCCCAAAAGATTCCTCAGAAATTTGAAAAACTGCCGGGAGTAAAGAAGCTTACAGCGGCTATAGATTTCTTTCTTCTTTTTGTTTTTCTTTTGTTTCAGACATTATAATTGCATCATTTGATCTATAATATATTTAAAAAATTAGCGACTAGGTGACTGTGCTTCCACTGATGAGATTATGCGAATTTTTATGAAAACATTGTATTGTAAGTGTTGATTGTTCTTTGTCATATTTCTAAAATTGATATTTTATATTTAATGTATTGTATAACAAATTTTGTGCCTGATAAGACCGCAAACGTGGACAGCAAAACGTTGCGCAATTTATAAAGAAAACTTGTTTTAATTTCAGAAGGACTCACCCATTTTAAATCGATTTTTGTAGAATTATTGTAAATATTATTTATTATTGAATTATTCAAACCACAGTATGAAAAAAAGGGTTTCAAGGAAAAATCTGTTAATCAAATAATAATTAGTAGTACATCTATGCGAATTCAATATGAGACGTTACGAGTGTCTATAATTTTAGAAAAAGAAAATATCCAGTATCGTCAACATACTGCTCAAACTATTACCTTTGATTAGCATTTATTTTTTTCGTAAATTTAATGTGAGAGATAAAATTTTCGAAATGAAATCGTTAAGATATAGTGCAGTGTTCGTGATTAATCCCTATCTTATAATTTGAAGTCATAATTATTCACAATGAATATACTGTCTCCTAAATTGTACTTCATAATTTCAAAATTCTTCACATAAAAGTTAAGAAAGTTTGATATATTAAATTACAAGTGATGTCTAGCGTGTTTCGCGCTCTTATTTTATCTTTTTCGTCTTTATTTTACATTCATTTTAATGCACGAATATAGATCAGAACTTAAAAAATTGGCGAAATTAAAAATTCGAAAGTACAATATGCATTTAATATTCCCTTGATTTTATATAAGATATAACGATGATATTATTTGTGGGTAAATAAATATGCAATTACCGTTGATAATCATAATTAAAAAATGTTTTCAAATATGTTTTAAGTTTTTGTCATCCGAAGTTTTGCCTTGAAAAATTATAAAAAGTTACAAAAACACGACAAAAAATGTAATATAAGTTCTCAAAGCATTATGGTATTCTATAATCACACCCTTCATGATATAACATACTTCGGTATATAGACGTTCACGATTGTAATTATCGTATTTTACAATCTTTTATCGTGACAATCTGCAGTAATTTTTCATAAGTGTCATACATATTATATATCTATCACACAACAGTTGATCACGCGACTATCTTTCAGCCAATCATTAAAAAAATTAATTTACCGTTTCAATGATAATTTTTCATACAAATATTATTACTCTAATAAAAATTAACTTACAAATGCCTTCCTTCTTTTTAAAATAAAATCCTGCAAAGTCCTAATTGAAAATTTTTAATTGTACTTTTGTTTGATAAGTGACATAATTTTTACAAAAGCAAGTTTTTGTTGAATAAGTATTATCTTGTTGATTAATAAGTAGGGTAACTAGTAGAGAGATAAAAACTTCATGCATGGGTTACGTAACGTTTATTAAGATAAATAGTCGAGGTACTTATGCGTTGTACATTGACGTAGTGTGATATTTGAAAATTTAAGGCTGCTGTCGCATTGACTTTACAGACCTAAAAAGATATATATCATCGTCATTTTCTTTTATCACCCACAATTATTTTTACTTCTCGGAAATCTGTTTGCCTTATTAAAAATACACACTTCTATTAATCGGGTAACTGATAATTAGAGACGGAGAAAAAAGCGCACATGAACCAGCTTGGAAAAGGCAGAACTGCGACGGATATATTTTTTCTCTTCACATTCGAAACATATCTTCACTTTTATTCAGAAGCTTCCGTATCACTTATCTAATCATGCATAACTAACAAAACATATGTGAAGGTATATACATATTATTCCATAACTAAAACATACATTATTACGTTATACCCATATAAATGAAATAGGTACACAAAATGTGACTTTTTTTCGCTTTTCGATCAATTTATCGTTAAATATCGAAAGACGATAAAATAGAGTACATGATGTTCATGCAGCTGACGTAATATATAAATGTTTTAAAACATAATCTCGCTGCTTTCGTAAGTTCAGCGCATATTTTATCAACAGAAGCAAAAACCGAAAATCTGTCTCTTAATTAGTTTACAAATCATTTCACCGCATCCATAGATGCTCAAACAATGATAAATCTATAATATATAGTAATCAATAAATATAACAATTGAAAATATCAAATGCACTGGTAAATATTTAGGATTGTACCTAGCAAATTTTGCTTGTACTAATCCCTTCACAAGAAGAATACAATAAAACGAATGCATATAAATATCGTAAAAAACCATAACAAGATTCTTTTAATCGTCTCTCTAACAGTAACATAAATAATACATCTTTGGATGATTAAATAAATCGATCCCATTCTCGTTTCTCTACCAGTTATCCTTCTCAATCGCAAAGAACTAGTCATAAGTCAAATTGCTGGCTGGCAACAGAGAAATGTGATGATCAGAATAATGTATGTTCCCTATATAAAAGTAATTTTTTCTATTAATACGATATGCAAATATTTAAGCATATAATTTCAACTTTTAATTACCTAATGAACAGTAGATTGTTCAAAGAGTTTATGCGATCTAATTGTTAGAGTTACACTTTTCTTTTTCATCATTTGTAAGTACGTAATTTTCACGAATAAGAATAAGCCATTCATCTGAAAAAGATTCGCTTCTTCGAAGAAAAAATATCATACATTCGCAATGGAAAAAAAATGACGTATAACTTTTGTTTTATATAAATAACATAGTTGAATGACGTTCTACATTCATACGTATTATACACCATATAATTTTTTCACGTTTACACTTATGGTTTTCGTCGACACAGATGCATCCCCGATATTGTCGGACGTTATTCTTTTATTACGTTTTTCCAGTATATTTGATTAGTAAATATATTCATTTAGCTCAATAATCATTAATAAAAGATATACAATAGCACGCTTTGGACTAGATTATTAAATTTCGTTTTATTGTATGTGTGTGCACATGCGTAAAAACTACATACATCAAAAGAAAATTAAAGAAACATATATACAACTCAACAGTCTTGACAACTTAAAAAATCTACAATTAATCTACAAAAGGTTAGCTTCGTATGGCAAGAAGTCACAAATTCTACCTAAAACTCTTGGCAGAATCATTTTTTACCACCCATTATGGTGTACGGATACACTTATTTAATTATCATTAGAATAGTGATACTTTTAAAAATTGAAGTAGTAAAAATCTTTACTGTACTGTAATTTGACAAGGTAAAAAAATCATACATGGGAAACTTAAATGTTAGTTCCTTATTTGTCTTGGCCTTTTTTTTCCATATATGATTCCTTAAACAAATATGTTCTCTACACACAATTGTGCTCGTCTACATCACAAGTTTTTTTAAATTGTATAATTGATTTTGCATTCATGATGTATCATCATAGACGTGACTAATTTGTAAATCAATATATGAAAGATAATTTTCCAATTACCTACAAGTTATTTCCTTTAGATATGGATCACGAACATTTTTATTCTGGCATTAATATTTCTTTACAAATTTTTACTAAAAGCAACTACGTAATTTGTTGCTAATTACTGATTTTTATCATACTACACTCTCTCTTATAAAAGGATGCAGCTCTTTTTCATAAATATCAATTCTACGTATCCATATACAAATATTTATTCATTATTATTTTGGAACTTTTATTCGACATGATTCACTATGCAAAACTTTTACCTTTAGCACTTTATATTGTTCCTTTTGTTTGAAGAACCTATTTTTAAATATATGAATTTTTTCATGACCAGCAATTCGTATTTGTACCACAAACACGAAATACTGATGATTACGTACGCATAGGTTTTATCTAACTTCAATTTTAAACATAAATTTGTAGAGAAAAAATTTCACGTTGTTCACATTTTTAATATTAATCATACTGTTATGTAACATCTCATGAATGTTCGGACTACCATACTGTGTAATTGAAAAGCAAAAGTATCAAAAACGTAGCCGAAAGTAAGATTATGTTAAGATTATTAAAAAGAGTAAGAGTATCATACTATGTTTGGTTCTTTACTCTGGAAGACATTTTTTTAAACAAAAGTATATTCATAAAAATAAAGATAAAAGTCTTAAAAGTAACGAAAAAAAGGTTTAGGCATAATCTTTAGTATAATCAGTAACGTTTTTGATAGTTTTTCAGCTTTGACTTCGGACACTTATTTTTTGTAATAATAAGACATTTTTCCGACAAATAGCCAACAAACGCTACATTAGCTGCATTAATAGATACCTACTCAATACCATTCATACTCTAATACTTCATACTTTTTTCAGCAATCGAGCCTCACTTATTATCGCAAATAAATCTAATAGAATATTCCATCGCAATGTTACGACTACTATTTACAAGTTTTCCCATCAGCGGTGGGCATTATCTATTGAGTTTTTTTTTATATTGTTCATCGTTCAATCTGGATAATTTATGATCAACACAATGCTTTCAATTGTCACTATCGGCGTAATCATCGCTATCACAGCTATCGTGTTGCGAGTCCTTGGGGCGAGTAAAGAGCGCACTTTTTACCTTCTCAATCAGCTTATCGAATATGTGACCGTCTTCATCGATGCCGTAAATCCTAAAAATTCATTTTAATATAAAATTATATACTGTTAATAAAATAAACTTCAGCAATTTTTCAGCTTAAAGTCAATGTTTAGGCTTTGTTTACACGCTATTTCAATGCAGCAGTAAATCAAATAACACAAGAAAAAATCATTAATATTACGATAAGTACATTACAAGTAGATATTCACTTAGGCAGCATTAGATTAATACAATATATTATTGCTTTGGCGAAGTTTAAACGATAAAAAATACTGGCACAGTGCAATCAAAATAACTAAATAACTATTAGGTTACTAAAATACTTCAGACACACATTAAATAACATTGTTCATGCAGTTATTAGATTTACTTACTGGACTGTAATGATGGTTACATTTCATCATCACAAATTCTGTAACAAACGCATATTTGTATTACCACGAATTTATCGACAAATTATGAACTAATATAATAATGAAACAATTGCGAATGCCAATGGCGCATAAATAAAAAGTTAGACTTCCAACGTCCACTTTTCATTTACTTATTTAGCTTGAATTCCGAAGCGTTTGCGAGTCAGTAAAAAGCTAAATAAAAATATGATGATCATGTAACCTCATGAAACATGTCATAGACAGCAAAATAAAGTATAATTTGCATGACAAAAAAGATTGTTGTGATTAACGTGTAACAATGAACGAGCAAAACATGAAAGTATGAAAGATGAGAAGAGACAAAAATGAGAATATCAGCGATTATATTTATGTAAATTACTTACTGAGTATCGTCTTGATCGTTACCACTTTCTTCAGCCACGAGCAGTTCGTATTCTTCTGCTGCAAAACGATCCCAGTCGGATAACTGTAACATTCAAAAGTAATATGAGTATGTTAGAGTACTATACAGAATGCAAATGAAGGAAACGAGATGAAAATCATTTACCTCGTGCCCTTCTGCATCGTGATCCCTAGCAGATGCGAATGGATCTCTCTGTTCATGGTCCAAGTATTTCTCGAGATTGAAGAATGTATCGAAGAATATAGAGGTCATTTTACATCTCTTCAAGTCGCTCAAAGATATGCTTCCAGGAATTTTGGGCTTAACCATATCCAGCATCTATATACGACGCAGCATTTAACGATTGTTAGCTTCCATTGATAAAATTATATAATGACGTTGTATCAATTACAATAAAACTTTGTATATAGTGTACCTGGCACAAGCAATCCTCAAACGGAAGCGTCTCAATGCCAATCATTTCCATTCGATGTAATTGCTCCTCATAAAAGTACTCTAACTCATACATAGACAAGTAACCATCACCATCCAAATCCATGCATCTGTCGAGTAGAAAAGGAATAGTCACGAACATTCTCAAGATGAAATAGATCAAATTGTACATTTGTATAATTTACCTAAACCAATATTCGATAGCTGTAGGATGATTCTTGTCTTCCTCGCTAAGCAAGAACCACACGAATTCGGTGTAGCTCATTTTGTCCTCGGGATGCTGAACACCGTTAGCACTCTTCACGCCTCTTGTCACGGCTCCGCTGAAGATTCGCTCGATCATACGCATCGATACAGCTGAAAAATGAGCAAAGCACGGTTTTCATTCGCGAGAGAAGCCTCGAGGTACTTTGATATGATGCAATAGTAAGGCCATTGATGTTATATATTTAGCCGCGCGGAGCCGTGATTCAAACGATGACAGATTGATATTATTCGACGAATCATGCAGTGTGGCTGGCGCTACTTTTTGATGTAAGTCAAAGAGTATGTTTAATATGAAAAGGAGATAGTTGGGTTGCGCTGAACGAAAACAAATTCTGAGACTTTTGTCGTTCGATCTTTTTTCAGAATAATATAATCAACATCATTTTCTGGACAAGTCGATGATTCTCAACCTGAGCTTTTCGTATTTCTCGCTTGGATACGCGACAGTGCTTAAAAATAATGGGCCGCGGTACGCAGGAGAAAATGTACTTTCGTTGAATGTGTAATGAGTAACCATAGTCAGCGATGCACGATAACAGTCGCCGTGGCATTAGGCGAACGCGTGATGCGTGAAATTTCGCAACAAGTCTAACAATGAAATTACCGTGATCATTGTGTCGCGTAAGATCCATTTTGTCAATGAAGAGATCATGATCGCTGTCCAACTCCCAGAACTTGCAGTAAATCACGTAAAAGTGCTCGTAGCTAAAGTAAGCGGTCACTTGATTGATATCCTCCTCGTGCTCCAAAATGCTGATCACTGAGAGCAAATTGCTTCGCCTCAATTCGGGTACCGAGATTTTGCCGCTCCAACTGCGATTAACGCAGTAAAATATCCTGGCGATTACCTACAAAGCGTAAGTCACATTATTATTAGACTCATGTGTGTGTGCTGCGGGATATTATTGCACTCTTTATATCTAGAGGCGAATTATTGCTTAGTAATTAGCAGGCCCCATTAAAATAGATCTTTACTAGTTTGTCAATTGATAACTCGCTCTTTTTTATCTTGTTGTATGCGTGAGAAATGAGTCTTAACATCCAGTATAAAAAAGTTTAGAATAATATATGGGGTATGTGTATGAAATGAAAGCTTGACAAAACAATACTCGTTCATTTTCAATCATCCTACTAAAAATAAAGTAAAAGTTTTATGTGAATAAAATGACTTGTAAAAAGTATTTTGGACATAAATCACATACATAAAAAATTAACTAGTAACTAATATTTTGTGTTGATTATTACATCAATGATGTACATACGTTTACGTATTTGTCAAAAATGAAAATACAACCATTCAAAATCAGACAGCAACTTCTAAACAAAAAATAAATAAACAAAATTTGAATTTGTACCACTGTGTACTCGTATTGTTACAAGTGGCTTTAACATTATTAAAAGGACCTCACACAAACGTGTTCCAAACGACCACGTACCATATTCGTGTAATGCCTGCGATATTTGCGATCTCTACGATAGCACAGCTTGGCAATTTGGGTCAGTTTCAATGTACGACGAGTTTTACGTACTTTTTTCCTCTATTTCAATACACAAATCAAATTTGTAATTTAATAAAGATGTAAGAAAAACCAAAATTTTCTTTCGTGTATCTATTACTTCGTAGAAGCATTATGATTCTGAGTAAAATTTGTTTCTGTTATAGTAATATAATTAAACTTTTTACTATCGAAATTGAATATTCTAAATTTGGCAAATAAATCACAACCAGAGCTGCGAATTGCAAGCAATTATCGTAAAAAAACGATACTCAGTCATCCCTTGAGCTGACACTATTGATTTTCTAAGAGGCGCCGTCGTCCTCTCGGGGAGGCACACTGTGCACGTATACTATATATCGCAGCGCGCGATCGCTTTTGTTTCACGAACAGCTGCAGCTAAAATCACGAAAGGTGAAGGAGCGGGAGGAGGAAGAGAAGGCGAAAGAGGAGGAACACTTGGCCTTACGAAAATTCTCTGCGCATCATCCACGATGAACTTACCGTGTGAACGTATCGTGAATGGAATTCCGTTGCCTCTTTCAGGAATGTCAGTCCCGGATGAGTCTCCACCACGTCCTGCACCAAAGGGATCAAATCCTCCGGAAGGATACTTGTTCTCAGGCCTCGTGTCACTATTCTTACAAATTTACTCGCAGCGTCGTGATGCATTTTGCACAGTCTAAAAATAGCGTAGTTATTGATTATATAATGGTTCTGTATATAACTTATTTTATATATCGTATACGTTTATATTATACAATATGAACGTAAAACTCGCGAATGTGATTTCCTCGCAACGGATGTACAATGGATAAAAAAAGATGCTCACTCTTTCCAGAAGTCGAGGAACTCGTTCATTTCGATAATTCCGTTTGTGTCGCCGCCAGACGCTAAGAAAAGTGGGACCTTCCAATACAACGGTAAATCACAGGCCTGTGAAGAACATACATAGTTAAGATATAATTTTTTTACCGTAATATCTAGAGTATACTCGAGATTTTTTAAACCTAAAGTCGGAGTTAGGATACTTGTATGTTTGATAATTTAATGATTTCAATTGTTGATGCATCGTCGATATAAATTTAATACTTTTACTACTGTGACGGGAATATTTCTGAAAATAACATTCTTTCAAACAAACAAACAATGTATGTGAAATCGATTTTTCCATAGACTATTTTCCAATAGACTGCGGCACCGCGGCCTTTGAAAGCCAATTACACACTTTGACACAAGTAAATTAAATTTGTGGAATCTACTTTCCTCGAGCGATGTTTCTTTCGCGGAAACATTTGTTCTGCAATGAACCTAAACTATTAATTCTTTCTTCACTCTCTCTCTATCTCTCTCTCTTTGTCTCTTTGTAAGTACAGAGTGAAAAGTGAAATTTTTCGAGTTGTTATCACCAACCATTTTCAAAAGCTTCATATATTTTTTAACAATAAAAAAGCATTTCTCAAGTATTTCACGCTTCGGCACTCGACTTTCAAAACATGCGCATGCATTTAGTGTGTCCGTGCACTTAAGTTTCGCGAGAGCAAAAGGAAAACGAGCACAGTGCTTTTTTCTACCCTCCAAGACAATAAACACTCGGCATACCTTTGTAATGGCATGGAATTGCGCGCGAGAAGCTCGATGACCTGGAAGACTGTGGAAGGCCGCAGTGATCCGAGAGATCGTCGTTTCGACCTGAGACACAGGACTGGGTTTGCCGCCCGGATAATAGAACCTTGAGAACAAAAACATCGTTAGGCTAGTTAATTGAATTCTCATCCTTCTATAGGAAGGTCGAATACATTTTATCATTCAATTATTGTCATTCATACGAAACTCAAATAGACGGGAAGGCAAACCGAGTAATATGCGTTTGTTATCTGAAAAATAATGAAGCTTACCTCGGTATTTGAACATTCCTGTTGGTCTTAACATGTCTCTGAAGTGTCGTGTGTGGCGGTAGAGTCTTTGGCTGTGGCTTGACTGCTGGATATGTGGTCTGAAAACACCAAAAACAGTTGTAATACCTCTGGAAAGTTTTTTTCTGCATGAACTATTCTATTTGATCAACAATTCGTTCTTAATACAAGGAGTTACGGAAAAGATGTTTTTCCATGACTGTTTTTTCATGCGTTATCCGAGGCCTGAAAACAAGCTTGATTCGTGCGCCTTTAATAAGGCTTGTTTTTTTTTAGATCGAAAGGAATTGCTCGATCAACACTGCACTTAGCTGTAACAGCCGTAATCGAATGTCTTCTAAGGGAGAAAAAAGGCTTTAGCCAACCATGAGCAGGACTATAAAAGTGAGATTTCGGGATAACAAAGACTTGTTTGTCGTCGCGTTGCCACGTGTTTCAACATTAGACCTGTATTTTATTGAGTGAACTGTCTATAGTCGTACTTCAGGCGCAGAAACTTTAATATCATCGTCATTTTATGCTCGCAATAAAAGAGAAGAAAACCTTACGGATTCAAACTGCATCCGATATCAAATTAATAAAATCGTCGTAAAATCTCGGAGATAGGATGGCTCGTAAAAATCGTCGGCAGCTATGAATCGACATCAATAAATAAGCAGTGTATAGTAGAAGATAGGCAAGGTGTAATCATGCCGGCAAAGGGCTCCGATGTGATGACCGTCGGCGAATACATAAAACGCCCCCCTCTAAAACTTCGCCCGCAGTGGCGTTCAATTTATTCATAATGCGGCTCTCTTTCTTTTTCATCCGCGCATACTTTCATTAAGGCGACTCGATATATCAAGGACGCAGCATCCTGTTACCAGGCGAGCACGCGATGCCGTAAGAAGCTAGCCACCATCGTCCGGTTTCCGTTTATGTACTGATTTCTCGATTATCTCTCGACTCCCGCGAGGCGAAGCGTATGTAATCTGTTATTACGGCTTTTCTAAGGCGCGACGAGCACTGCGCGGTCATTATTTTTAGATTGAGACCAAGAGATGCCACGCCAAGCACGTTATACTTACATATATTTATATTTTTTTTTTCGTTCGCGATGCCAGCAGAAATGCGCGTTCTAATTGTTACTTTTAATTGCTGGAATGAAGAGAAATAAATTATCGTCGAGAAACGAGTGAAAAAAAATTATTCTTTGCCCGGAGACAGAAATTGTTAAGAAGTAAGTGCGTCTTTCATCTTCCTCGCAATTCAAAAGAAACTAGAATTGAAACGAAAAAAAATTTCTATTCACAGCTTTTCAATCCTTCTTTTTTTCTTTTTAATATTAGAATCTTTTTCAAGAGCTCGACAAAGTAATTCTCGGTACTACTCCAAAAGATTATTCATCATACCGCTTAGGTAATCTTTTCAATTTCGAATTCATCGACATTTTAATCACTTCGTTCGCACCAAAATTCGACGAAGATTCATTAACACGTTCTTCCGTTTTTATTTTCTCCCACTGGTGTTCAACGAAAAATCATGTTTTCCTCGCTCAAAGAAAAAGAGAAAAAATTAGCCGCAAACTTGCAAAACCACTTAGTAAATATTCAAATAACAAAGTCGTAAAAGTTGCCTCCTTTACGAGCCGCGAATGATAAGAAAGAATTGAAGAGAAAAAAAGAGAAAAGAAGGCCGAATTTCATAACGACGAGCGCAACAGAAAGGTAAATAAAGTCACGCCTTCGAGCGTACGTATGCAACGCGCCGGGATGCACTTGCAGCCATAAGCTTACGTCATTTTGCGCGGTGACTCGCCGTATAGTTAAATAAACAGGAGGAAAAAAAAGGAGAGGTCGGGTTTTTCTCTCTGTGCCCGCTGCCACCGACGCTCGAGCCATTGCAAAAGCAGAAATAAATAAAAACGAGAAAGAAGGGTGGTCCGCTGCTCGTTATTGAGACTTCGCGACTCGGCATCGTCTTGTCTGACGCTGATTGTGCACCGAGCGCTCCTCCAATGCTGCAGTTTATGTAAGTCCAATGGTGCCACGATCGTTAGCGTCGGCATCAATCATTTTAATGGCAAATTTCAACTTGTTTTTTTCGTTTTTTTTTTTTCGTCGGCCGTCCTTTTGCTTCGAGTTTTGCGGCTGATATTTACGCGCGTCACGCTGCACTTAATTATATATTACGCACGTCATTGAGGTTATTTTTAACAGTGAATTAAGCTAATCTAATTTATTTGTATGCAATAGGAGATATTTAAGCAATATTTTTGATTTTTCAGTCGAAACAATTGGCCTCCGCTGGCCTAACAATTGACTACTCCGAGTAAATGTCCACTGCAATAAAGCGCCTCGTATACCGTATATGTATTGGAATATCTGATTAGATAGAAAGCCGTACGAGGCGGTGGTTGTGTCATCTTCGGATAGGTATCACGCAGACGTAATTGAATTTAGTGTATTTATAGATCGCAAGGAGTGCGTGTGTGTCGAGAATGAGTGTCAATGACTAACATTGGGATGACTTGAGAAGGTCAAGATTTATCGCATCGCTACGTTGCACCTTTATCGATCTAATATTTCGTATATATTTTTTTAGTCTAACATGGCAGTTTCGTTTCAGGTTTAAGAGACTTGTCCCGTGAAACTTAATAGCTGGCTATATGGAACCAATGGCAACTCTTTTTTTTCACGTTATTTGAGACCGCGATAAAATCACGTATTTCTTTAGAAAGAACAACACATGCTTGGCATGATATCGACGAAAATGCTACAGCGCTGTAGGTGTCATTTTTCAGATTTTTAAGATTTTTCAGATTTTTCAGATTTTTCAAATTTTTCAGATTTTTCACGAGACGGCCCAAATACCGCAGGCCAATATTTTAGTGTTGTTAGGTGAAGCTCTCGCCGAGAGTCAAGGTTTGGGTCGCACGCGATAACAACAGCTCGCACACGTTTTTATTCCAGAAAAAGAGAGCCGTTAAGTCCCACGCCGAGGACCGATTTGAATCATCTCTAAGAGCCGCTTCACGAAAATGAACCGAGCTACAATTGAGAAACTGCTGATAATTACGGAATTACGGCGCGTGCCCGTGCTGGCTAACTTATTCGTAAAGCACTCGATCTCAGACATTCACCTAGTTCAAACAAAGAGATGCTGCACAGAATGTCTGCATCGTATTTCATCTACCGATTTCATGCGGACGCTTACCGTATGTTCGTCACTGCTATATACATCGATCCGGACAATTGTTCCAATTCAGCAATGACAGGCGTCAAAAGCATCTCTTTGTCGGCAAAGCTCGATAATGTTGTATTCGCAGCTCAAATAAACCTGCGCGCATCGACACTCATAAAAGCTTTAGCGAGAGGAGAACGAATCGAAAGCCAGTCCCTTCATCGCCGAATATAAACAATTGCGGGCAGCAAGGGGTCTGCTTAAAGCATCCCGGAGTCTTGATTGATTTATACGGACTGCAAGTTCGTTCGCTTGTTTACCTACGCGAGACTTGACCGTGCGATTAATCAACAAGTGGCGTGAACTGGAGCAATTAGCTCGAACAATGTTTCTTTGTGATGACAACGGTAAAATTTCTTGAAAATAAATAGGTTCTTACGAAAGTGGATTTTTAAGAGGTTGAAAAAGCAATTTTTTTATTCCACATCGGTCCACGCGTAAATGAAATGTTTGGTTTTTCACGGAACACCAGCTGCTGCAGATTACGCAACTTGAAAGCATTTATTCGTGTGTCTTCAAGGATTAAAATACGCTTACGTAATATACAAGTAAAGCAAAATTTAAGTGATTTTCAATCCCGTTGAAAGACAGCGAATTTCGTCATGCCCGACGGAAGAATATAAAATCGCTAATCAGTCGAAATGCTCGCGTATGCGCCACACAAGGGCATAAATTCCCGCAAGAGAGAAGGGCAGAACTAAGTATTGCGCACAAAAATCCTAGAGTGCAACGGCTGCACAATAATTTACGTAGTTCGCTTTCGCTTCGGCTTCTCTTTTCCGGCGCAGAGGTAAAAAGGAAACAGAAGAAGAACCATTTTCCCGAGAGAGGCTATATACTGGTGCGAGGCGTATATACGTCAATTTTCAGATGCATTCCAGCAGCCGAGGGCTTGCCTCTCTTTCTCTCTTCTTCGCCTTTGCTTTGTTAAAATGTCTCTACATCGCTCCTCGGGATTTCTGAATTCACCGCGCTACCTGCACGTTTTCCTAGGCTTGCGTTTTTTTTTCCCGTTCTTAATTTTCCCGCAGCGGCTGAATTCGCGCGTTCACGCTACAAAATTGTTCTCGTTTCGACGAGATGAAAATTCGCGGCTAATTGGACTGAATTTGACAAGGGTCGAGAAAAATATGGCCACGTCGAAGTCGAATTATTCGCAGAAAATTACTTGGAAGAAAAATGAATGATTCATATTCCATTCAGCAGATGTACGTAAAGAGATGTGAGATGTCACTTTAAATACTGCGGTTAACGACTTTAAGATGGCTCTGAAGTGCTACGTAATCTCGAGCGTTAATTCTATTCTTACACAAAGGCCATCAATCTTGTCATGAAATTTTTGTCACTTTCGCGTACTGCGGTGAATTGGCTTTTTTACATTTTCGTTCTCCCGGGCCGCTCCAGAATTATCCCGGCAACGAACAAATCTCTACCTGCTTGCCTTTTTTCCTCGGACACAAGTGTACGGTCTTTTGTCCGGAGAGAGGAGAGAGAGAGAGGGAAAGGAAGGTATTTGGGCGCAATGCCCCTTTTCCGAGCCACTGGAACTCAAGTGCGTTTTGCTCGAGTGTGCGCACCAGTCAGAACAATTTTCGAATCGCGCTATCGGCGGAATGTATGTCGCGTGACTGTCGAATAAACAGCTCGCTCTTGTAAATCGAAGCGAGCCTTTTGTCGATCAGTGCCGCAAGAGTCGCCCATAGCGAACGAAACGCCAGCTGTCCGCGTCGCAGGCTGCGTTGCAACGAGCTGTGCCACGAACAACATCGGCCGGCGAAGGTCGCGGAAGAGGACGCGACCGCGTGTATATGGATTTGCCAACGACGGCGGGGCTGCGTAGCGGTAAACGCGAAATTCG